TGAACACATCCTCCGTTGTGGGCAATGGGTGCTGATGCAGCTGCAATGCATCGTTGAGTCCCGTCGAGAAGTCGGTGCATAGACGGATCCTGCCGTTCTTCTTCTTGACAAAGACTGTTGGAGCAGCCCACTTTGAGTGTCCTACAGCAGAAATAACTCCTTCGGTTACCAACCGATCAATTTCTGCTTCGAGTCCCGGTGCTGCTGCGTAGGGAACTGGTCTCTTCTTCATGAAGACTGGGACAGCATCTTTCTTCAAAACTAACCTAGCCTTGCTCTTCTTACATCTTCCTAGTTCGCTGCTGAAGACATCTGAATACTTGTTCTTCAAGTCGGCGACAACTTTGGTCAGAATTGCTTCTTCACTAGTCATCTTCCTGCGGCTGTAACTTTGTCTTCAACTCTTTTATAGGCTGGTAGCTGGATGCACCACTCCAATCCCAGGAGATTCGAACCTTCGGTCACATAGCAAGTTCCAAAACCATGGACCATCCGTCCTATAACTCGATCTTTGACTTTGAAATCAGCTGCAAGTTTACCAACGATTTGCATTGACGTCCCATCTGCCGTTTTTACAGGCATCACACAGGGTTCTGAAGCTGGAGATCGCTTCCTTCGACTTGTTCTAGCGGATTGTGGACAGTCTCTGCTAAAATGCGGACCTCCACATCTGAAACAATCTACCTTTTTCTTCCACACCGCATGGACATCGCGGGTGCCTTCCATATCCCTGTTGTCCATTTTCGACGCGGCGTAATTCTCACATTCGCTGACCAAGTCTCCGAATGTCAGCGGTGTTTTGTCCGTATGTGCGTCTAATCTGTGAATCATCCTAAAGCGGACGTCTCGCAATAACAGGTGCTGAAAACCGGCTACAAATTGTAGCGTCTTCATTCCTATATAGTTGAGTTCCTTGAGTCGAGCGTCCTCATCCATCCGCTTGATTGTGTTGGCGTATTCTTGGAACGGTACATACGTCGGCGTAAGCGGTGGGCAGATAACGCAAAGGCACTTTAGTCTTCTTCTTGACAGCGTCTTCTTGGATGCAAACAGCTTCTGAAAAGTTTCGATAGTTGCGCTGAAACTCAAGTCGTGTGATTTTGCAGGCAGGATTCTATTCGCATACTTCCGGTATGCTTCTTCGTCCAGCTTCATAAGGATTAGGTCACGTTTCTTGTTGTCTGGCAACAAGGACTCGCTTATGACCGGCCCATACCTGCTGTACCAGTACGCAAAGGTATTGTCCTGTGTCCTCGTCGGAGACAAACCTTTGCATATCCTTCTCAGCTGATCGTATTGATCTTTGCTGGCATCATGGACGCTACGCTTTGGTTGCTGACCAGAGTAGCGATTAGTATCCTCATTTGTTCCTGTTGGGCTTGCATGGATCCGAACTTCTTCTTGTTGAAGCCGCATCTGCTCCATCATGGCGTTGAGGACCTTCTCCAGATCCGTAGCATGCCGCTCTTCTGCGACCTTCGGCATGGCTTCGGTGCAACGACGAGATTTCTTACCTCTCGTCGATCGATTCCTCAGATAGAACTTATCTGGAGAAGTTGTCCTTGGAGTCGACTGGAGGCTTCTTCTTCTCCTTGGTTGGTGGTAAAGTTCTTCTTGTCCTTGATCCTGTTCGCCAGTTGATGTGGAACGCGTTGAGCCGTTGACCGTTTATTAGAAAGACACAAGAGTTCCCCCTCTGCCTATCGGCGTACATGCCGAGGGTTCACTGAGAATAACTCGAGAACAACACACAAATATATCAAGGTACGGCGGGTACGCCGCAACCACAGAGACCATATCGACCTAGCCTATAGTGAGCGAGCAAGTTCCAACATAAGGAATGGCTTTACAACACCCAAGAAGTCTTTTGCCTTGCTTCGGGTAACATTTTGTCTGGCTTCAAATTAGATTTACAGTATGGAGCAAATCACCCATCTCTCTTCATTACTGTAGGATACGGTGTAAACTTCAAAGAGGGTTTTGAGCCATAAAAGGCCATATTTTGCCTCAGAAAGGAAACGAAACGCCTTAAAACTTTTACACTAGGCTATTTAAAGTTGCTGATTCTATTAGGTTGTCCCAAAAGTAAACCGTATTTTTGCATAAATCAAACTGTTCTTGTTTTTCTGGCGGACTTGGGGCACCATTTGATAGATCGAAGCAAGCTCTACAAAATGACCAAAGAACCGTCTAAGTCGCTATCCAGGTAAAATTTAGATCCAAAAATCAAAATTTTTCAGCTACCTTAAAAATCGGATCTCCTTCCGGAAAATTCCTATGGTCTCCCAACTTGGTCCTTATATGGTAGACACATAGTAGTATCGAAAAATGGTTTTGGTTGATTTCTTCCGGAGTTCAAAATTGTGAAACAAAGGGGGTCCCACAATGCCAAAATGCCACTTTTTTCGGGTTTTTTATGTAAAACTTGGTATTTCTTGGACATAAGAGCACATACAAGGGTAAGTTTTTGTAATTACACTTAGTAAGGCTTGTAATATAAAATGACATATGTGGGAGGGGCTGGGGGCGGAGCTTGACATTTTTGGATAATTTTTGTTTCTCGCTTTCTATGCTAGGAAAAAATTTGCTAAAGGCATTGAATACTACTATGTGCCTGTATAATGATCAAGTTGGAAGTCTGTAGGATTCTTTATGGCAGAAATCTAATTTTCAGATAATAAATTTTTTTTTCGATTTCGGCTACAAACTTCACATGGAAGTGCGACTTAGGCGGATCCTTGGTGGTCATTTTGCAGAGCTTGCTTCGCTTTATCGAATGGTACCCCAAGTCTGCCAGGAAAACAGAAACAGTTTGATTTATTCAAAAATACGGTTACTTTTGGGACAACCTAATAATTGTAAAGTTCCCAGCTTATTATGATGCTTCATTAAAGTTGTGCCAGGTAAGAGGTAGCAGCAGAGGTGCGATAGTCGGAGCCGATTCTCCGCCTACCTTCACTTTTAAGCTGGTCCAGTGTGACCACCTTCACTTTTGGGTTTGAAAATTTTTTTGCTAAAGCTCAAAAGGAGGAAAATAAGCAAAAAGAATGTAAAAGAAAGTATTGAGAGCATATATCTATGTAGTATGTCGATCCAAGCAGCAACCGCCGAGAACCAGAATTTCGAATGATAAAATAATGAAAAATAGTGAAAAATCATTCCACTGTTACAAATCTGCTGGCTGAAGACCTCCGCGGTTGCGACTTCATAGGTTTTGAAGGGTAAGTGTTGTTCTACCAGATAATGAAAGAATCAGTTCGATTTGAGGAGTGGCCGTTGAGAACGAGAATTTTGAAAAACCTTAAAAATCTTCTCAATTTTAGGTTGCTTAATGACAACTGACATTTAAACTCTTATAAATCCGGACTTTGAAGGTGTGTGATGTTGCGACTCCATAGGTTTTGTAGAGTGAGGTTTGCCCTATCAGAATAAGTCTTAGCTGTACCGATCCATTGAAACATCGCCGAGATGCAGGCTCTTAAATAAGCATGTAAAAAACCGTTTTTCAGCTCATAACTTCTTCAGAACTGCATGAAACATGTTGCGACTTCATAAATTAGATTCTCCTCTTCAAGAGCTTTCAGATGATATATAATATGTGGAGGATTCAATGTTTCTTGCGGCTCTAACCCGGGGTAGAGTACTCCTCTTCACTAATTCTCCACCCCGCCCATTTCAATGTATTGGCGGGAGGCCGCCAGTGGAGAATTAGTGAAGAGGGGTACTCCACCCCCGGGCATATGCCGTGGGAGGCGTGAATCCCCCACATATTATATATCATTTTAAAGCTCTTGATGAGGAGAATCCAACCTATGAAGTCGCAACATGATTCATGCAATTCTTAAGAAGTTATGAGCTGAAAAACGGTTTTTTACCTGCTTTTTCAAGAGCCTGGATCTCGGCGATGTTTCAATGGGTCGGTAAAGCTAAGACATATTCTGATAGGGCAAACCTCACCCTACAAAACCTATGAAGTCGCAACATCACACACCTTCAAAGTCCGGATTTATAAGAGTTTAAATGTCAGTTGTCATTAAGCAACCTAAAATTGAGAAGATTTTTAAGGTTTTTCAAAATTCTCGTTCTCAACGGCCACTCCTCAAATCGAACTGATTCTTTCACTATCCGGTAGAACAACACATACCCTTCAAAACCTATAAAGTCGCAACTGCGTAGGTCTTCAGCCAGCAGATTTGTAACAGTGGAACACAGTTCACAATTTTTCATTATTTTATCATTCGAAATTCTGGTTCTCGGCGGTTACTGCCTGGATCGACCCACTTCCTTCGCAGTACGTTACAACAAAATTTGATTGATAAAATCTGTGAAGTCTCGCTAACTTTCACTTCAAAACACACCATTTACCAAACACGTTTATTTTAAATATACATATATGCCGCCGTATACATAAATATATGCTTTCAAAAATCTTTTTTGCTTATTTTCCGCGCACTGGCGGCAACGACCTAGAAGGATAGGCTCAGTCGACGTTAACGCTCCAACCCCCCCCCCCCCCCCGGTCGACGTTTTTGGGAGGTGAGTGTTCGGCACTACCACCTTCACTCTTGGCTGGCCATTGGTAGCTGGAACCACCTTCACTTTTGGGGGGCCGGCTCCACCTATCGCACCTCTGGGTAGCAGCCATTTTTTCGATGTTTCTAAAAAGTGCGGCTACACCGTTTAGAAAGCTTCGCAATCTTGTGAATAGTTGAGTATTGAACTCAGAGTCCATAAAAACCCTGTTACACAAGTTTTCACCCTTTTCTGAAAAGTTTTGAAACGGCAGCTTTTTTCACATTGAACCATATGTTTCAAGTTTTTACCGTAATCCTACAGTAATGAAGAGAGATGGGTGATTCGTTCTATACAGCAAATCTAAACTTAAGCCAGCTCTGCAAAATGGTGCTTAGAGGAAGGCAAAAGATTTCTTGGAAGAGATATATTAACGATCAGTGTATACATACTTAAGGGGCACCCTGTATATAAATTCAACCATTCACATGAAGCTTTCCTTGATCAACGAGTATGCACTTCCCAGATAAAATCTTCAAAACTTTCAATTTAGATTATGTTTAGTCTCTAGTATTTTGACCATCCCTTACTTCTAGAGCGTTGAATTACGGGGGTATTGGAGCAATCGTCGGGCACGAAATAACTCACGGCTTTGATAATAAAGGTAATCAGGTTTTGTGCTAGCGGTTAAAAATTCATACATCTAGTTTCTTTGTTTGCTTCAAAGTCTCTTGCTCTTATTATAGGAAAAAAATATGATGCATACGGCAAACGTCGCGATTGGTGGAGTGAAGACTCACAGGAAAAATATGAGCAGCGATCTCAATGTTTCGTCGACCAGTACGGAAAGATTGAGGTCAGCGAAGCTTATTGAAGAGTTTTTTAGCACCAACAAGAGTGATCTAAGGTACCAGAAACTGGACACAAAATTGATGGTGAGCGCACTCTAAGAGAAAATATTGCTGACAATGGGGGAGTGAAACTATCATACGGGGTGAATCTCTTGATTTCACTCAGTAAGCATACATGGATCGCGTTTGTTTAGGCTTACAAAGCTTATCTGCAAAAGCATGGTGGTGAGGAAGACAGGGTCAAAGGTTTTGAACAATTCGACAACGACCAAATGTTTTTCTTGGGCTGGGCTACGGTAACGCTTTATAATACACGAACTTAGGAAAGTGAGACAACGGTCACGCTTGAGGCCTGGTGCGAGCATACAACAAATAAAGTACTGATCAACCTAATCCTCAAAGGTGTGCATTCCCCGGCACGATATCGGTAAGTGAAGCCAGTTTCATATGCGTCTTTGCAAGAGTACACTTCCAGTGTCAACCAAGTGCTGGCTAATCAGCGTGAATTCGCTGCTGCTTTTAACTGTGATGTTGGCAGTGCCATGAACCCCACCGAGCGTTGCGCTCTTTGGTAGACGTACGACATTAGTGGGCCGATTTATACAAGTTTATCAATGTTTTAGAGGTGCAAAATTACGAAAATGTTAATGATGACAGGTTGCTGCTAGACACATGGATGTTGTAAATCTATTAGCATGTTGACTCGTTGTTCTAGTTGCGATTTTACAAATCATCGCTTGCATTCTATGTGGAATGACTGATTAGTCGAAATGCAATCGCGCATCCGGTGTTTACGCTGAGATTGTGAGAAATGTCATAGAAGCAAAAATGCTTTTAACGTGTTCGCGCAGTATTGAAATGTCATGGTAGAGATCAAAAGTTTACAACTCATCATTTTCACAAATTATAATACAATGTTTGAAAAGTGAGAATTTTTCCTGCCGTTCACCGACTATTCATTCATCCTTTGCATTGAGGAAGCTACACAAGAGATTTCTATAATATGTTAGGTTGTTCCGAAAGTTTCATCGGTTTCTTAGAGCCGGAAAAGCCTACGATTTTTGCGCAGGTTTAGCGCATAGAAGTACCGAAAATTTCAAAGGGTAATTTTTAGAAGCAAATCGCTTGACCGTTTTAGAAAAATAATGATAAAAATCTTGTCTCAACTCGCAGAAACTTGCAATTTTCCTATTTTTGTTGCAATTGCGTGTTTTAAAACCTTCGGAAAGTGACACCTCTCAAAAGATACTTTTTTCAAGTTTCTAGCTTCAGATGACGAATCTGAAGACACTACCGCATAGCCCAAGATTTGCTCTATATAATATTAGCTACTTTTTTTCGAGAGTAAAAAATAAAATTTTTGAAAAATAGTGTGGCGGCTCAGTGTGATCAGTACCTTCCGCAACTGCTCGCCGCATCTACACACTAGATCCCTACTGTCCCTCACGTGATGTTGCTCGTCCGTTAAGGTTCAAAACGCCTTAGCGGTTAGTGCCGTGGATTGCGCTTACCCGCTTAATGATTTATGATAGCGGTAAATGCTAATTAGGAAAAAGAGCCGACCAAATTGAATATATTAGGTCGGTGTAAAAGTTTTGTCAGTTTTTTCAATCCATCGGCAAACACGCTAGAATGGAGATAAACAAAAGCCTCAAGATGTATCCAATGCAGAATTTCTTCCTCTTTCCAGCTGCTAAACTTCCATTTTGTTTTGTTGCGAGAGTGACCAGATATTTGCCGAGAATTACAACCACTCGTTTTTACCATGTCCAACTTTCGCTAATTTTCAAAATTTTTGTATGAGACTTCCGGAGGAGTTCTAATAACCAACAGGCAGGGCAAACCTTTTGCCAACAGAAGCAATTTTTTGTAGCCCTATGCTTGTCTTTCAGAATTTTTACAATTTATTTTATGAAGTAACCAAACTTTACATTCAGCCTATTTTAACCTCGTAGAACATAAAATGTCAAACACTTTAGTCACCATTCGATGCAGCTTTTTCTCCTCTTTCTGACACTTGTTTTTTTTGCCGAGGCAGGCGAAATTTATGGGGAAAATCGCAGTATTTCTCAATTTTAGGGGTGCGGACTGACGTAACCTATATTTCAAAATTTTCATAATTTGAAGCGAAAATCGCTCATTTACTTTGTAATGGTAGCGATAGTAATAATCGAGTGTTGAAACCTCGGTTTTCTGTAGGTTTTGCAGTGTTTTGTGCAATAACAGGTTATGCGATTATTCCAAAACACAAGACTTTTAGAAAATTATTTGGCAAAAATACAAAAAAGCAGCTGAAGAGGAGAAAAAATTGCTTCTGTTGGCAAAAGGTTTGCCCTATCTGTTGGTTATTAGAGCTCCTCCGAAAGTCTCATACAAAATTTTTAAAAATTAGCGAAAGTTGGACGTGGTAAAAACGAGTGGTTGTAATTTTTAGCGAATATCTCGTCACTCTCGCAAAGAGACACCACAGTGGTTTAGCAGCTGGAAAGAGGAAGAAATTCTGCATCGGATGCATTTTGAAGTGTAGTTTTATCTTCATTCTAACGTGTTTGCCGATGGATTGAAAAAACTGACAAAACTTTTGCACCGACCGAATATTAATCTTTAAACACAAGGACCTACACTGCAATAATACCACCAACAGTAAAAGGAAAAGCACGGGGTGGGGAAAAGCACGCATTGCCTCATGCTACCGATGCCCTCGCTAGACTCAAATTATGAACCTGCCGAGGCCTCACCTAACAAATCCGTCGCTAGTCGCCCAGACTTGGAGGAAACAGTGCAACCCTCTCCGCTCCCGATAATTCTAGTTCGACAACAACATTAAAAGGGTTGCTTTCAACATTGCGCGACCTGCGTTTAAACTTTCCCAAAATTCTGTGCATTGCTTCTAACGCTTGGTTCACAACAAGAATACATCCAATGCGGAAGCTCAAGGCACGATGATGTAATATTGAAATTACCAACAAATGTAATCGATAAAGACGGAAGTGGTCAGGCAGGCAAATGAGGTGCCGCCTTGTATAGTTGTTTTGTTGTTGGCTACGTGCCAGTAAGGAGAGGCGCGGCGACGATTGGGAAGCTAAGGACCGCAATCGCAATCGGATGTGCGAATCAACAGGTGCTCCCGGCCTCCATACTTTGAGAAGCTCGTGCATCACCTGCAGCGACAATTAGCCAAACTTTGAGCAGATGGAATTGAAGGATGAAGTCATCAGAAAGAGAAGGAAAAGCTGCATCGAACGCATACGAAAACGTATCGATCCTTTATTGTACGGGATTTTATAGTCGTTTGGAAAAAGCGACAAAATTTTCGGGACATCCTATTTTTTATTAGGTTGGCCCGAAAGCTCTTGCGCAATTCAAACAAACTTCAATAACTTCAAAAAATAGTCCTAAATTAACGGAAAGGTATTCTAAAAATAAACGGAGGTCTGTGCTTTATAAAACATATTCGAGAATAAAACATTCTGTAGGTAAGGCAACGAGAAAACAAAGCTTTTGAAGATAGCGTTTCAAGTTTTGCGAATTTGAGTTCGGTGCTGAAATCGCGGGGAGCCGCTAGTCAGCCCAAAAATCTGAAAAAATACCTTACACGTCAAAAGTTTATAAGCTATTGTAGAACTCCAATCTTACGCTAACGAGAAAACAAAAAGTCCTTAGAAAAGTGATTTTACGGAAAAATTTCCTTATTACAGCACTTTTCAGAAAAAAAATGTGTATCACGCTAGAAGGCGTCCCAGCATTATAAATGCTAGGTCTAATTTCTGGTCCCAGACTGTCTTCCTGAGAAAAAACTGTGGCGGTAAGGGGTTTTTCTCGTAAAATGAAAGTTTTTAATTTTAAGAATTTTTTGCTTATGCGTTTCCATACAAGGTTGGAACCTATTACGATAGCGTATGGGCTTTTGGTTTGTAAGAAATTCTTACAAATCTTTCTGGGCTTTAGCGGGTCCTCCACGATTTTCTAGCACCAGACTCAAACTCGCAAAATTTGAAACGTCATTCTTAAAAGCCTTTCCCGGTGGCTAAGTTATCGAATGCTATGCTTACATATCTGTTATAGAGCACAAACCTTCAATTATTTTTAGGATACCTATCCGCCAACTTTGGACTAATCTTTAAAGCTATTAAATTTTGTTTAAATTACTCAAGAACATTCGGACCAATCTAATACTAATAGATTGGTCCGAACAATTTTAAATAAAATTTCCACTGTTCAGAGGAGAGAGTTAAGCAGTCGCAGCGATGCAAAAACGCAGATATTTGCGCGGTTAAAGGAATTAATGATGTGAGCACAACTCGAAATGGTGTGGCAGCCACAGCTTTTTCAATGGTTGTGCCACATTCACAAACTTAGTAATAAATTACGGATTAAAACATATATAATTACCACAGCCACGTGCACGTCTAAAAATGTAGTATACTGCATCACATGTTTAGATTGGGATTTCAATACGTTAACATCACTACTACAAAACTTAATATTAGGATAGAAAGAACATCTACGGGGTATAAAAAATAAAAATAATAAATTATTATACAAGCGCTTACGAGTTGATGGGAGATTCCTATCCAACCTTCGTTTTGCGGATGACATCGTCCTTTTCTCGAGCAGTATCACTGAAGCAGAGGCGATGCTGAAGGAACTAAACGAAGTAGGGAAGAAGATCGGACTGCGAATAAATCGGAAGAAGACTCAGTTCATAAAGAACGCCCTTTGCGAAGATGCAGAAATGGAATTGGAAGGCACCCCTATCATGGAGACGTCTTCTTACGTGTATCTCGGACGTTCGATGAACATGGAGAACGACTTGAGGGAAGAACTTAACAGGAGAAGAAGAGCAGCCTGGGCCGCCTTCGGGCCTCTGAAGGAGCCACCGACCAACTGACGGACCCGGAGCTTCGTGCCCACCTGTTCGACTCAACCGTTCTCCCAGCGCTCTGCTACGCAGCTGAGACTTGGGCCGACACCGTAGCCACGTCAAAAGCTTTAAGGACCACCCACAGAGCGCTTGAGCGCAGTCTTCTGAAGATGACCCGACACAAGCAACATCTAGTCGGACTTCGCAGCACGGATATGAGAAGAATGTCCCGTCTTCGTGACCCAGCGGAATACGTTGCGAAAGCGAAACACCGATGGGCCGGTCACATAATGAGAAGAACGGACGATAGATGGACACTAAGAACATCTGAGTGGATTCCTCGCGAAGCCAAACGTCCCCGAGGAAGACCACCGACGAGATGGGCAGACGTGTTCGTGGAACGGATGGACCAGCTGAGAAATCAGCTGGATACGATTCTTGCCCCTGGAACTCGTGGACGCAGCCACCGACGACGACCAAGAAGATCGTGGATGTCCGAAGCGAGGGACAGGGATCAATGGCGACTTCTGTACTGGGGCCCGCACGTCACGTGAGGACGGGCCATCTAAGTATCTAAGTATCTAAGTATACAAGCGCTTCAAAACAGGAAGTTATAATATTGGAAATTTAAGAGCTACCATATTGGATAATGCACCTAAAAATGTGATTCCAGTATGAAGTGAGGAACTATTTTGGATCAAATTATTGATGACACCATATCCTTTTGGTTTCAACGACAACATAGCTATGGCAATCTAAGCTCTATTAGTATCCACTTTTCCATAAGGTCAACCATCCCTTTTTCAACTGTTGTAGAGCCGTCCCTTATATTGGAACTTGCTCGCTCAGTATAGGCTAGGTCGATATGGTCTCTGTGATTGCGGCGTACCCGCCGCACCTTTGATATATTTGTGTGTTGTTCTTGAGCTATTCCTAGTGAACCCTCGGCATG